AATTTACTGGAATTCACAGGAAAGTTTCTATCCCTACTAAGTAAGTACAGGTAGGAGGCAATTTTTACACGCAGACAGTCCACCATAGAAAACCTTAGTTTGTATTCTCAGCCATAACGATATTTACATGTAACGTTACATGTAGTAACAGTATATATATATATATGATTAGTAAAAAATTAGAAGAGCTTAATTGGTGACTTTTTATGCTCTCTTTGAGCAAAATCAGGGTCTTGATGTTGCGACCAAGTTGAATGAGGTTTATGGTTTTATCTACATTAAATTCTTGTCATAAACTTGTAAGCCCAATCGCTGTTTTCAATACACTGACTTCTGTTTCTCTGTCCTCGAGATGTGACCTTGGAGACCAGAACAAGCAGGAGGAAGAACCACTGAGTCAGAGACATTCATTACGGCAGAGCTGTGTGAAAAAAGATGGGGAAGTGTGAGTATGTTTTCTTTCTTAACATGATACAACACTCCAGGTGCACCCAAATCCACATATCTTTCTCTCACCCTGATTTCGCTCTACTCTGAGGGTTGGCATGCGTTGTTTTCCGCTTTGTGTAGTTGAATGCCAAATTGCCCAAAATTTTTGCTTTGGACCTTTACACTTAGTATAATAATTCTCCCTCCAAAAACTTAGTATGCCGTCTGCTTTAATGCCACATTGTTATCCCCTTCATATCGTATAGTTGAATAACTGCCCAAAAATTGTCGCTTTGATGCTTAAATTCTCCCACAAAGCCGCCGCATTAATTCCATGCAGATTCCTTTAATTTTTAACTTTGTTTTCCACCCAAAAATAATTAATTGGGACACCTATACCTGGTTAATTAATTGGATTAAGTTTTCCCACCAAAAAACTTAGTATATAGAGCACTCTAACCTTGAACTTGTGCCCCCCTCCCCACTCTTCCTGCCCACCTCCCACACTTCTTCCACAACTCAGAGTATGTTTAACTTAGTTACACTGTTTTCTGGACCTCTTCACACATGTAGTCAACACACTCTGCTACACAAACACTGGTTAATTGAGTGCAGTTTTTCCACCACTTCGTTAGACTTAAGAATATTTTCTTGCTCTCCTGGTCGGTCAATGCACTAAGTGTACTCCCCGGGGGATGTCTTTTCAGAGACAATGATGCTTCGACACATCAGTATACCAGTGCAATTGACTGACCAGGAGAGCCGGAGATTATTCCTAAGTCTAAGTGGTGGAAAAACTGCACTCGATAAGCAGAGTGTGGTGACTACATGTGTGAAGAAGTCCAGAGAACAGTGTAACTAACATACTCTGAGTTTTTTGGCGGGAAAACTTTAATCCAATTAACTATCTACTTGAGGGTCCCCTATTATCCTAGGTGTTTTTTGACTGGCAGAATTTTGGCAACAAAAAAATTACACAATTCACTAGGTCCAAAGTGACTGAACTTTGGGGAATTAGGATAATTAAGGGTCCCATTCCCCCAAGTTTTATTGGCAGGAAAATTAAGGGTCCAAAGTGACGCTTTGCAATGAATTAAGGATAACAAATAATGTGGAATTGAAGTGGCCAGTTACATTTTGCGACAAGGCTGAACGGCTTCTCACGAAAAAGACATCCAGACCCTCAGAGAGAAATGCAAATATGTGAACTTGAAAGCAGGTGGGAGTGTTGCCTTGTGTTCACAATGATGATACTCACACCTCCCCATCTTCATTCACATAGTCCGGTCTCTGGGTCCTCATCTTAAAGACAGAGAAACAAAAGTCACTGTATTGACAACAGCAATTGGCCTCTAATGCATATCATATCATATCACACGACATGCAAGTATATGACAGTTAAATTGTAGCTAAATGTTGTCTTTAAAGGTCCAAAGCATTGCAAAAAGTATGACGTGCTGTATCTCAAATGACAATTGCAGGGCCAAGGCGGTTATACTGGAGATACTGTAACCTCTTTCGTGGGACTGATTGTTTTAAGATATAAAAAGGAGTCTAGAAAAGTGTGACATACCGTGTAATTAGAAGCAATGCAAGCTTTAAGTGACTGGATGAGTGGATTATAGGATAGAAATGTATTAGCCTGGATGCCATCCAATTTGCAAAGTAGCCATTACAAATCGGATGCCACCCAGGCTTAGAAATGTAGGCATGTGTGTGTTGCTGAACAAATAAACTATACTCACAATTGTGCCCACTGTCTTCTCTCACTGCTTTGCTGTCTTCATTTCCTTCTGCGTCTTAAAGTCAACTGGTTTGCTGAGTCCTCATTATAGGTTTCTCCCAGATCGGACAGCCGACCCTCAGGACACACCTAATGATATGAAATGATAGTATTATTAGTGTGATGGAAAAACATCCCCAGGCAACTCTGAATAACCATAACATCATGCAATGCAACTAATTTTATTGAGTGGATTATAGGATAGAAATGTGTTAACCTGGGTACCTGTGAAATGACTACTTTTAACTTAGAAAATCACATTAAGTCTCTTTATTCCACTTAATTTTCCATTTCACCATAGACTTTTTGGCGACTCCTTAGGGGTGGAGCCTTTGGCATAGTACTGCGGTCAAGTTGGAAATATTCTAAAAATTCCGCCAATGCAATTACCATGTATAAAGAATGATTGGCTCAAACATATATAGCTGATACGGGCTCCTTTAGATGTTGCTTTGTGAAGACGATAGCTAACACTTTGGGGATAGCACGCGGAGGCTTCCCTTATATTGGGCACGGCAAGCCTAATGTAACTACATAATGCTGGTCGTTTTTTTTTCGTTTTTTTTTATAAGTCTTAATGTGTGATGATGGTGATGTTTTGTGTGATTACTGCCTCAATGATTTTTTTATTGCCAGTCTTGTTCATCACTGATACAGGTTGTTTTGATGTTACGTTTCCCTTTAATATGCGAAGGTAAACATAATAACCTCCATTATTCATTCAGGTTACCTGTGACCTTAATAACTTACAGATCAGTGACGACCCTGTCAGAGCTGAAGAAAGTCATGGCAACTGCCATTTGAAAGTATCTTAAAGCTAAAGTAAAGTTTTAAATAATAGTTGTAATCCTTTTTTTATCCTGGCAATATCAATTATCACACACCAGCTATCTCATATGCTGACAAAACCATTGACTTATTCATAAAGAAAACAAAGACAAAGATCTTGGCTTTTCCATCACCATTTATTGGCCACCTCAAGCTTGCAATTTGCTCTACATTTTGCCAAGGTCTGTGGTGAATGATTATATTTTCTTTCTTTTTTTCTTTAAACCCTGTCGAAGTTTTACAGTTTTGCATCTTCCATAACATATTGAATAATGGATGTTGTTGTTGTCTTTGTTTAATGTCTATTGTCTCGCTAGACTGGTCTCTAGGTGCCCAGGGTTTCTCTTGGTTCAGGTTTCTGTCAACGTTCTCTCAAGGTTTTTAATGGAGTCATAATGGAGGCATAAACTTATCACTGTGTATATGTACGAACAGTGTGTAATCACTACATCACACTTCTGGTGTTTCGTCATTTGTGATTATACAGATAAAATATAACTTTAAGGCATTACATTTTATCATCAGTGATGTTGCTTAAACTGAACATGTAAGTAACTGGTGGATAGATTTTTGAAGGCGGATTATACATGTGTATTTACTGCTACTTTATTGAGATATTACCTATTAAAGTAATTACCACTAGCACAGACCTTTTGCAGTGTATGGGCTTCTAATGCATTACTTAAAAGCAAAATAAAATCATAATTCGCAATGATCTCTTTACATAGTCAACGCGGTATATCATAAGGTCAAGGTTAAGAATAATTCAAGCTGTTGTACTGGTGTACCGAATGAATAAAAGGGAATAATAGGGATTAAAAGGGATTTCAATTCCTTTATGTTCTAAAACAGTTTTGATCTTAGAAAAAGGCATTTCCATTATGATTTATTTCTTGATACCTTTGGTGGTAATATGATAATTCCAAAAAAGATCATGGGAAAGTTAAAAGGATGTGATAGGTTCTTTATCTTACTTATCAACGTGTCTTGAATTACTCTGGTCCTTAAGGTTTTAAGTTTCTAGGTTACCTTGGTTCATCACTACAGTGCTTCTAGATGTTTTAGCTAACAAGCGTTAAATAGGATTATGCAGCAGCACCATCAATGCCCTGCTAAGCGTTGCCTCACCAGTAGCGTAGAAGCAAAAAAGACATTCTTGAATAATGAACTCTGTCCTTAATATAGGGCCACAACAAGTAATTTTTTATTAATGACATCAGCGCGTGCATTTCACCATATTTTGGAGGTGAAAGAAAGAAATTTTGTTGCTCTCTGAAAGTGATCAACATGCTGACAATGGGCAAAGATGTCTGTTGCCATGCCGAAGTGTGAATGGCAGATAAATATGAAGAGAGGAGACATGGCTCTGATCTATTGTTTGTCTTTTACTTTTATGCAGGGATGCATTTCATTCCTTTTACAAAATTGTATAATTATGTCATGTTCACCGAATCAAAACCATTTGTACAATGATTGGAAACTTTTATAGTTGGCAATATACGTAGCACAATATAGGTAGCGTTGCATGTATTATTTCTTGTTTAACAAGGTTTATGATGTCAAAATTTGAAAATGTAGGAACCTTGTTTTTTTGCCCTATTTAGACTCTGCGGAGGATGCCATCCATAAAATTTACTTGCTTGACTCTGAATCTTAATGGTTTATAACCATATAGTCTAGCAGGGAAGTCAAAAAGGGTTAATAAGCGGCTAATCGTGGTTTGTTTTATTATAATTACCAAATATGGGTCACTTCTTAATAACGTGGGCCATGGGTTGTTTCATCTGTTGATACCAGGAAAATGGGATTCTTCCTGAAATGCTAACATTGTTTGATCAATAATGTTGTTTGATTGTTTAATAATAGCATTGCACATCATCACAAAGAGAGAATGTGGAAGCCAAAAATTGGGTAGATAATACGCAAATTGTCCTGAGGAACTATTAGTAAGTTCTCTCCGTTTTTTGTAATTAACAGTGATGGGGGTTCAAAGTCATCTACACTCTGGGGTTTTTTTTCTAGACTTTTCGTGCAGCACACTAAACCTTTTTGACCTCAATTTAGTCTACAAATTATGCTGAAGTAAATATGTCTGACCTTTAATTTGCAGGCAAAGCGAATGTCATTCTTCTTACTGAGTAAAAGCCAGGCCTTTAGTGATCCTGACAAATTCAATGAGCCCAAAAATAACTCCAATTTCATGTTTTTTTCATACAAGTCACCCTTCTAGGTGTCCAGATACAATGGAACTTATAAGCTTTTGATTTGAAAATGTTGGATAGTAAATAAATATGACTTGTTAAGCAATGGTAAACCAGGGGGTTACACGTGTATTTCTTACAATGAATTTTGCTTCAATCCTCAAAATAGAACTTGTTTAAGGCTGTTGGCACTTGACAAATAAGCCTAAATCTTGTCAACCTAATGGCCTTAGTGTCATCCGTAGTAATCATTACCTTTTTTTAAAAAACTACATTAGCCCTTCCTCCCCCCCTGACCAAAATGAAGCGTCCGAGTGAGCCTTGCATTTGTCAGACTGTCATTGGTGAGTTGTGTTTCTCACTTTGGTCTTAGGCTGTCAGAAAGAAAGAAAGACAGCATGCGTGAGTATTAGAAAGCCGTACTGGTGATTAGTTTCATTTCATCAAATACATCACGCGGAAGTAACTTAATATATTCCGTTCATTGCCTGTCAACAGTGAAATTCTGAAAATGGGATGTTCAGGAAGATCAGGTTTCTTATGAGGAAAGAAAGACTGTCACAGTAATTAAACTTTCTGCTCAAAATGATCGCCCATGCATCACAGTGTTAGAGATTATAGTTTTACACAAAATTTCATCATCATCATCATCTATGCCACATTTTAGTGCTTTTCACCCTGCAGGCAGGTGGTCAATGTGGTCCAGGTGTATTCTTGATACGTGGTTCAGGGGACTGTCAATTTTGACTCCAATTTAACTCAAAATTAGATTTGTATGGTAGGCGTGGACTTTCTCTGGTCAGACTGCTCACAAACTTCCTGGTCAGGATGGATTCCTTTTTTAATAGGTTCTGAATATGTGAGCTTAAAGCACCGTCGGTTTTGGTTAAAATAGACCCCAGTGTTTTACTGGATATACTTACTGCAGGACAGGTCATCCAGGATGCGGTTAGCGAGTGCGCAGGGGTCGCTGGTGTCGAACACATTGGTGGCACTCCCGGCGATGTCGTCAAGCGCAATGCTGTCCACGAAATTGCTCCTTCCAATAGCCACGGAGTACAGCTCAATCCCCGCGGTCCTCGCCAAGTCAGCCTCAGCTACCTGGTCACCTGTGGTCTACCAAGATCATAGCAAATAGCTTGTGTTAGCATGAGTTACCCCTTCCTCATGAGCTCAGTGAAAAGCGGTCTGCAGCCTGATTTGGGCTTCTCCTGAATAAATAATAATTTGCGTACCTGTACTCCGTTTGTCAGGATGACAGCAGCGCGAGCAGCCCCGTTGCGGAAATCGGACTAAAAAAACAAAACAAAACCATGATTAAATCTACACTTCATACACTTGTCTACTGTAACATTTCAATACCTACGAATCTACATGTTATTGACTAATTTCACCAATGGCTCCAGAAAGGCCAGTGATGTATGTACAAAATGTACTCACCAATAGAAATAGTCCATGCGAATTATTTTTAATCATTATAAATCTTTATCATCACATAACACATCACTTGCAATAAAGAGCAGCAACAGGAGAAGGAGTACCACCTAGAACATAAAGTTTGTATTCAACAATTTGAAAGCACTTCAGAGTCCGTAATTGTTATCATGCTGATTGGATACGATTCCAGAGTTTTGTGAAGCAGTGGTCTTACTGTGTCCTTCATGTAACGGATAGCCAGGTAGGTTCGTTTACGGCCTCCATACTGCATCTGGTTCAGGATGATGCCAGGCAGGACAGCGTTGTCAGATGTGTACGTCCCCAGAGAAATGATCTTCTCAGGCACGCAGTCATACAGGATATAACCAATCTGTGTCACGGGGATTGAGTTGAGTTGAGAATTACCAATAGACATATTTTGACTGCGACTGAAAATTACTTTGTAGACACAAAATGGTTTACACCTGACTAATGCCTCCAAAAATCATTTAATTTTACACATTCATCCAGTTTTACCTGTTATGTACATTGTATTCTGGAACACCCATTTGCTGTTTTATTATTTGTTAATGATTTGTATTCTTTTTTGACTGAAATAAGTGATTTGCTAGAGTGTCCACCCCAGTGTTTTGTAGTCTTATGTTTATGTATTCTTCTTCTCTTTGATGCCCAACATTATTGTAATGACAACTCCAGCATGTCAGAGTGTGCTGGTGCTGTCCACGTTAATTCGCACTCCACTCTGAACAGTGAACTTACACTTAATCCCCTAGCCGCAATCCGCAGTCTATGTTGTGTAATACAAAATAATTTGCCATAAACTTTGATATTTATAATCGGCACTCACCCCGACTTGCACACCGCGGTCGTTGAAGCATTGGAGGGCCTCTGCGACAAACTCCTTGGCGAGGTTGAAGTTGGACATCCCAATGCTAGAAGATCGGTCAATTACAAAAACAACATCGGTGGCGCCGCAAACTGCAGTTCATGACAAGAAATGTTCAGATGTATTTCAAACATAAACGTAGTACATACAAAGTTAACACAGTGCAGTTCCACCCACCCAACGATTTGATACGCATCTACCTGACCTGTGTTCGCTGTTGAACAACAACAAAACTTCCGAGCCAGGCAGGCTGGCAAGAGATGAGAAGGTCAGGAGCCTGGCTAAGACGCTGTCCCAGGTAATTGAGGCACTTCACAAAGCTACTGCCTCAAAAGGGCCGCTAAGTCTGCTATGGGACTACCTTGATCTTTTTTAGATGACACTCACCACTGGCGAGGTCTTCGTCGATCAGTCCGTCGCCGTCATTGTCGATGCCGTCCAGCAGCTCTTCGTCCACTCGCCCGTCGCAGTCGTTGTCCACACGGTCATTTGTGACGGTCTGGGTGGTGGTGCAGGGTGCGGAGATCTGGGCCAGCCGGAGGCCGCCTGGGTAGCCATACGCCTCCAGAAGTGTGTAGCCATAGCTAGGGAGACGATAAAGATGACATGTAAAACAGGGCTGTAGACCTTCCAGGTAGTAATCGTCAGGCCATATGATAACTGCTTGCCTTTAAAAAAAAGTAAAAAAAGATGAAGCCCAGCCCACACTATCAACTATTATTCAGGTGTGCCCCTTCCCAGACATAGGGACCCTGGCTTCCGAGGTCTGATACTCGGTACCCATGTACCTGCATGGCCTGAGTCAATGGACTTTGTGATGTGTGGATGTTATAAATAATCCTTGGAAGCTTGGAAGGTCATAACACAGGGCAAGCTCACTAACCACCAGCTCAGGGTGCCGCAAGCTGTGCCCATCAAGCTCCATTCTCCTTATGTGATTTTGTCATCAGTTAGTACCAACATTTTCCAAGCCTGGCAAAACATTCGAACCAATGATCACTAGTCTAAGATCCCACCTGAAGAGACCGAAGGTTGCGATGGGGGAAGCGTGACTTGCTGTATGGGTGCCTGCCGAGATAGTCAGGTCAGTGGCCTCGTAGTTAGTCCCCGGCACGGGATGCCAAACGGTGCTGCCTGGCAACGGTTGTCCATCAAATAAGAGACCAGCTATGTCAGCCGACCTGTGAACAGAAGGATGTCAGTCACCAGTCTCCTTCTGGAATATTGATTGATGTATCCTCGGTAGAACATCAGATGGCCACTTATGCCAAACTTTAACAGTTCTATGGAACTACCAGGTAACAGGAAGGAAAGTGACCTCAATCCAGTCTCACCTCACTGAAGAGCTATTCTTAATATCTTGTGACAGAGAAGATAGACGCGCCGTCTACAATATTTACAGGTTCATTGTACCGGGAACCCGCTTCCCCCAGCTCTTTTCAACTGCACAAAGAACAGTAGACCACAGTCCTAAGGACTGCGCCACTTTTCAGTAACATGTATGTTGCCGATTGTTGGGTGAGCGTGACAACAGCCAGGACTCGAACTTCCAACCTCTCGGTCCCGTTGCAGGGTCACTAACCACTGGACTACGCACGCTAAAAACACACACAGACGCACGCGCACACACATACACACACCCAAACACAGAAACAAAGTTTAACACATAAACACGCGCGCCACAGAAAGACAAAGAAAAAGACGACAGCTTACTGAATGACCAGATTCACGTGATGCGTGGTTGAGGTGCCGGTTACGAGGAGGTCGATCGTTGAAAATGTGTAATCTGCCTCAAACTGGGCCACAGGAGGGATGATCAGGAGGAACGGGTCGGTGTCCGTGTTGTCGGCAGATGCTGTTTTACTACACAGAAGCAACAGAAGCCACAATTCAAATAGATTATTCAGAGCCCGTACCCCCCCCCCCCCCAAGAATGGTGCAGGAGTTTCACGCCAAACAAGGAATAGATTAACAACTGGCATGACAAAATGTCCGCCTGCTCACACCTGTATTGCGCCAACAGTACTGGTTCGTCGGAGGTCACGTGCAAGTACTCGTTTGAATCAGCCTCAAATTCCCAGAATTCCCCTGCGTTTAGATTCCTCGGAGTTCGACCGGTAACAGTGACCTTTAGAATAAGCATAAAAGCATTAGTGACAAGGTACTTGACTTTTTAGACTCTGAATCCAAACCTTTAGGCTGAATTATACCTTTTCAATTGTCCTTTTCTACGCATTCCGTACTGACTTTGATCGGTCTATTGAGAGACAGATCATAGACATTTCTTTGTTGAGTAAGGATAACCAGTTTAGACCCTGCCTGCCTACATTGTACCTGCCTTAGTGCTTCACGGAGGCCAGAAGCGCCCTCTGTCTGAAGTTATCATCTGCTGTTTGTAAACTGTATCTTAATGGACCTAGAGTTGATTTTTCCAGCGCTTGAGACTCGGTTTGAGAACTCCTGGTTGTAGACCTTGTAGACAAATGCATATGGTGATCTCCTTCGAACTCCTAACCTGTTGGTCCAGCCTGATGGAGCCTACCTGTGTGTTGTCTCTGGCGGCCACAATGCGGAAGATGTCGCCAGCGGTCCTTTTTGCCAGCGGGGCGGTGACGAACTCCTTTCCCCAGGTGTCCACGGGTGGGATCATCTCCACAATGTGGTCGCCAGACCCTTGCTGATTGTTCCCTACCACGGTGAACAGGTTTCCGCTCAGCACGGACACCGGATGGCTGGATGTGATCCTGGACCCGGTCAGGTCTTCGGTCGATTGTACCTGCAGGGACAGTTAATTTTATCTTTTACTAGTAACCTAAGGCACTACGACGTGCCCTGAAAACAGACTCAAAAGCAAATTGGAATGGAAAATATAAGATCCATCAAGAAAACTAGTTGTGCTACTCTTCGCTGGAATGGAATGAAGAAATGCTGATTGCATTCTGAGGCTGTTTCAGCAACTCTGAGCTGCAGAACACATCATAATCATACATACGATTATCTACAACATTATACATGAAAACCGGTATAGAAATAACGGTAGCGTGTGCTGGGAGAGGAAAGAAACCTATTATATATATCTCCACCAGATGAATACGCCAGCTACAATGTATGTATGGGAAGAATATTTGTCAGGGGAGTTTGGCTGCCTTGGGGTTGCAGTAAGGAAGGGAAAGAATCAACGTTCCGCGGACTGACTCGCCTGGCTCATTTTACTCTGCTTTTGCCAAATGCTATAAGATCCGTATTCCTATAGGAAAGAGTGGTGGAGGCTACGAGAAACCGAAGTCCTCATCCTATGTCCAACTCGAATGGAACAGCAGTGGGGTATTCTTACCTGAAGCGTTTCAAACCGGTCCAGGCTGACCGTGAAGTCCTGACCCGCGGGGTAGCTGCTCCCGCCGAACGTCACGGCTTGGGTAGGGTTGATGGTGACAGTTGTACCGTCGTAGACGCCGACGACCCCAAACTCTGCAATAAAGATCAAGGACACAAAAGATGACGAGAAAGCACCACAGGGAAAATCGAAAGCAATGGTAGATTGTTGAGTGAAACTTCTTAGTGACACACACACACACACTCAGCTATGAAGACATCTTGGCGAAAGGTAAAAATGAAGTAAAATTCTTACCGCTTGGCAAGTCCGTAAAGCCCTCTTCGGCCCACGAGCGTCGGACCGTCGCACAGGCGGCGAAGTACTCGGTCCCCAACACGTCTGTCGGGAGGGCCAGGTAGGCGTCGGAAGAGGCAAGTTCAGCAAACACTCCGTAACTGTGGGTGTCAATGCGAAACAGTCTTTCATTACCGCTCTTCACTTACGATCATCTTTGGCTTTCCTTCATGCTGTAAACTGTACATTCTAAGCATTTTGATAAGAAAACAATTGCATTCTGTTCTACTGTTTCATGTTGCTACGTGGAAGTCATTTATTCTCTTATGATATAAAAGAAGCAACAAATTTTGATGTGAGCTCCAAATTTTGCTGTAAGCAAGAAATTTCTGTATCGAAACATTTCTGAATCGTTTCAGTTCCAATGTGGCCGCCCGTGACCGTATTCGTGCTCACCTGTTTGTGATATTTGTCATCTCACATTTATCTTTTAAACCTGTGTATCGTTTAAAGTGATTTTCTAGAAGAAAAAAAACGTACATCACGATCTCTTCATCTGACGTGACGTGGATGGCCTTGTCGCTTTTTTGGCTGCCGCGAAGCTCCACGGCTGTACGGTCCAGGGCCACGTCTGTCACCTGTTAAACACCGGACAATAATGCTAATAATGTTGGTCGAAATAAGTAACTCAGAACATTATTAATGATAATATAAAGTATAAAGTATATCAGTAACAAAGACAAGTCATCACGTCATTTGTCCCACAATCGTTCCCGTAAGGGTCAGTCACAGTGACAATATAGTCTTTTGAAGTTGTAAGAGGCTGTGACTTAATTACGTAGGGGCCGATACCGACTTCCAACCACTTCTGACCTTCCAACAACCTTTGCTCACGTCACATTTGAATACATTATGTTTATAATTGCCTTTTGGAAAATACAGTAATAAGCATAATCTATTCATATTCTTGAAACGTTTTGTGTGTTTTGTTGTCTTTTATATCACACGTTTCGTTCCCGCAAACTGCCCAGCCGAGCTCCGGCTTGGAAATGTATTTGGAAAGAGTAGTTCTGTCAGCTAGAGGAAAACCTGGTTGTGCGAAAAAAAACTCAATAGTAGAAGAAGAAGTGAGAGTTCGTCGGAACAATGGCCATGGGAGTTTCTGTAGAAAAGAGACTAGCCTGTCCATTGGTCGCCGTGACCGTGGTGGTGTAGCCGGTAGCAGGGAGTGTGATGGTGACGTCGGTCGTGGCAGACTGGGTGGTGATGAACAGCCGGGGTGGATTTCTGTCCCTCTGAAAGTTTTCCGTAAATGTCAGGATGAATTCAGTGCCTCTGTTGTCTCGGACGCCTGAAAACAGAAAATTACCATGTTAGCATGGACGACGCCGCGCGTTTCTGTCTGTAAACAGTTGTTGTGATTTGAAATGGTCGATGTGAAATCTGTTAATGATTGTGCCATATCCGAGCCTGTTGACTTTTCTGAGGGGCAAGAAAAAAATTAATCATATATGAAATTTATGAAAAGAACAAACATTTTCATTGCAAATATAAAGCACCGTTGTGAAAAATAGTAAAAGATATATATTGGGGGAAAAAGAGCACAAGCTCGCGCTCGGATTCGAACCCTCACCCCGTACACCACGAAATTATCAGGGCAGACGTCGCATCCTAAAACAATTTAAGTTTGACGTCCTACCAAATGGCATCGGCAGCTTCAAATGGCAGGAACCGTTTGCCTGACGGGAAGATTTCACAAAGTTTCGGTAATTATTTTCGGTGTGCACCATGGGTGCGCCTTTACCACTACTATTACTGCTCATCATCGAATTTGTAAAGCAAATATATACATGTGCAGTACATGGCAGACGGTTAATTTGGCAGTACTAGTATGTGGAACGACAACACTAGGATACGTGTGGCATGGGGAGACAGGGTAACCAACGAAGAAATTCTCTTTTCGAACAACCCGCCAAGGACCATTGTTGTCGAATAGCGTCTACTACGCTAAACTACCGGGGCATGACCTCAGAATGGAGGATATTACAATTAAGCAGACACCCCGAAACATATTTGGCCTGGCAGCCACATGTAGAAGGGTGCAAAGGAAAAAGGGGAAGGCCACGAAATACCTGACGACGAACGAGAAAATGGGAATCGGCTGGAACGACGTGAAAGCCATAGCAGTGGACAGAGGTGCCCGGAGAATCCCTATACCCGCCCAGCGCGCCACAGGAAAGTGCAGTAACTGGCATGGGTCTAGATAAGTTAGCCGGAGGTTAGGCAGCCCGGACATGAACAATCAATACCATATATACCCAGTGACAACGCGGATAGGGACGGTACATTTTAGCCATGCAGAACAGCAATTGTGTCTCTCTCCAGAAACAATTAGGAAAAGAAGAAATAAAGAAGACAAAACACAAATAAAAAATAATGGGAAAATAACGGAATGTTAAAAAAAAAAACGAAATCCTAACTCAAGTCCTTAATTCACCATTCAATCCAGATGGTACCATACGAAATGCGTCAACACTTCGTATTTGATTTCATGTATTAAGAGAATCAGTCATAACCAGAGTATATTTATCAAGTTTGGATTCCATGAATCAGTCAGGTCGAACGTTTGGCTCCGTTGTAAAATCTATCGTTAGCTTTGATGTCCTCTTCTATAGGGCGTCCAGTTTAGTAAAATAAATCTTTATTTTAAAAGAGCTGTACATGGATATGATGCCCTACCTTTTGATCTAGATCCCACTATAACCATACATCATAACGACCGTATCTACATGTGGGTAATATCCTTGTGCACGAAGAACGCAACAGGTTCTGGTTCGGCTGCCGTTCAGCGCAACTCAGCTGACCCAGTAAGGAGCGGCCAACGGATTTAAAACCAGTGACACGAAAGACCGCACTCTATTTCGATATACTCTATATCATATCATATCATATCATATCCTATCATATCCTATCATATCATATCATATCATATCATATCATATCATATCATACGTTATTTCATATGCCCGAGGTGTGGCTCTCCTCAGACACGGTATTCCATAAAAAAATTCCTATCGGTGGGACACTGACAGACAACCCTAACTGACCACCGTAACAATTGCGCAAAACTGTACGGTACCGCCGTTTCTCAAGCCCCTTGATGGACGGACTTGTGACTCTCTTCAGTTTGTCAGGATCGTTTGGGGGTCAGATATGTGGCTCTCTTTAAGTCTGCCGTACAGCTCGTCTGGTGGCTCGACTTGTGGCTCTCTTCAGTTGGCCAGGCCCGACTTGTGGCTCTCTTCAGTTTGTCAGAACCGACTTGTGACTCTCTTCAGTTTGCCAGGCCCGACTTGTGGCTCTCTTCAGTTTGCCAGGACCGACTTGTGGCTCTCTTCAGTTTGCCAGGCCCGACTTGTGGCTCTCTCCAGTTTGCCAGGACCGACTTGTGGCTCTCTTCAGTTTGCCAGGACCGACTTGTCGCGCTCTTCAGTTTTACAGGTGGTTCATTTGGTAGACAGACTTGTGGCTCCCCCTTTAGTTTGTCATGCGACTCATTTGGTGGTTCTACCCGTGTCTTTCATCAGTTTGTAGTTTTGGAGGAACTTGTGGCTCTCATGTTTGATGTTCAGGCGGCTCATTTGGCGGTTTGTACAGTTGGAATAGGGGTAATATGAACCATGTTATGCTATCAATCAGAATTAAAAGTACCGACACCTACCTTGAGCTTCTGCTCCGCCGGTTGAGATGGTCAGTAGGAGAGTTGAAACCAACACAGTCCACAACATGACTCTGCCGCTGTAGAACGGGACAAATGCATGACACGTAAAATGTAGTACGGACTCTAGAAAATGTCCAAAAGCAGACAGTGAAGTAAACTTTGGGTGAGTAGTAACATCACTTACTTGCTCGCGTGCATTCAAAAACGTCGGATAGAAGTGGGCAGTTGGAAGATGATCTGTACCAAAGTCAGTCTCGGGGCGCCTCAATCTTAGTTGGAGGACTCGACTTGAAGTGGTGGACAGACGGCGTCGAAATGTGCCAGCGTGTCTTGTACAGCCCGTTTTATCGGTGTAAAGCAGGCACGTTCCCGTTGGTTCAATGTACGTATTTCGGAAACATGACGACACCATTCCTTCACCAATCAGCATCGTCCAGCTACAGGCCATTTCATCAGACGTGGCGAAATTGACGTGACTGAAGAAATGAGTTCTCAGGTACTGCCCACGCAAGTTTAAGACGAGTCTGCATTGACACATGGCAATTGAAATAGGAACCAAGACCCTCCTCGTCAGTCTCTATTCTTCAATGATAAAGGAACTCCCTCCACTTTATTACTACATGGTGCGCCTTGTCCCAGGCTGATACGTGTCTAATTTAAAAAAACAATCAATGCTGTGTTCACATGAGTCGATAACATAGCAAACGGACAGGCCGACTCTGCATGCAAGGGTTAGGGCTGTTTTGTGCTTTTAAAAAAGTTTTCTAGGGACTTTGTCGGCTTTTTGGGGGGTATGCTAGGTACGGTACCTAACATGGGCCGACAGAATTCAGTAGAAATCCCAATAAAAGGTTAATAAAACACCCAAAACTTAGCGTTACCCAAGGTTTCCAGGTCTCCGATGTTGTGGGTAAATTACAAAGGGATAGGTAAGGTGAGTTAAGGTTCCGACAACCGTCCTTGAATCAGCCAAATGTCTCGTTTGTTGTCAGTAACACACTAGTACCGCCCACAAGGGACGTTATCCTCTTCTGGTATATGGCCTGCCGCGTTTCTCGTGTCAGTATCGTACATTTTCTATACCTAGCACTGCAAAAGAACCGTCGCTGTCTTAAGAAATGATGATATAGTAGCCCTTGTCCTGCTAGCCATTCTGGCCTTTATATATAGTAGTACCCTACCTAGAGAATTGTTAGTACATGTATCTTGATAATACTAATTACAATGGTAATAAATGTATAAAGGGCGATTAAAATACATTTCTTCTACAACATTGGAATATAATCCACAGAATCACTTGAATCTGGGTCATACAGATTCTGAGGAATCCTGACAACACCAGAAGTACATAACAGACAAAAAGGCACTCAGGTACGTACTACTACAGGTAAGTTTATGAGTGCAGACTACCATGGGTGCTGAACTGCCTACCTAGCTAGCTAATCTACTACAACATAGTCACCTTCTTTCTGTAGTTTCTAGATTCTACATATATAGTTGTTACATACAAATGACAGCTTGCATATTTCACTCTGTTAAAAAATGAATAGCAACCTGATTATATCAATAAATTACCAAAAAAAGACAATCGAACAGCGATAAAACCCATATTTTAGAACATTTCCATATAATGGTTAAGCCTATGTCTAAACACACACTGACGCGCGCACACACATAGACGCACACACGAACAGACGCACACACACACACACTGACGCACAGACGCACAAACATACAGACGCACGCAAGCTCGTTCATGTAAACAGCATCAGATATTTGAAGTATGGATTTTTATGGCTGCAGTATGGACATATGAAGTATGGATTTTATAGGTCATCTCAGGGCAGGGGGAGGGGGGTTCTGATACTAGTGTACTCTGACAGATACAAGTATACTCTGATACTAGTATACTACCCCTGAGATAAAGCTCATATTTACATATAATAAACGGATTTAAAATGTTATGTACAGAATTTAAGTTAAAAGATTGTTACTGCGACAAGTAAAAACCATTACAGCATATCCATACGAAATTGTCGACATGAAATAGAAATGGCACCATAATAATATACACTATAATGTCTCACTGATTCAAAAGTTCGACCATGTACGGTAGTGCACTGTTCGTATAGCGTCCCGTGCGGCCGTACAGAGGGTTCAGTTTGTGAGAGGAACGAGTCTGACGGCCACTGATACTTCCTCTGGTGGGTGGTAGAATGTGCTGAATGTACATAATAGTACTTTCATACATGTACTGTATGCAATCTACGGCAAGTAGAACATCAACAGGTACCAACTTTGCCTGAAAAATTGACCACAAATAGAGGACGATAAATCGTACCATAGGTGGTATCAATCAATTCTGCTCGCTGACGCTACACACCCTATACCTAACCATAGTTGGGGAACGTTTTAGTGGGGTCGTGTGGCGTAACGTTATAGTGCTCGGCTCAGACTCAAGAGGTCTCGGGTTCGAATCCTGCCCGATGTCACTTTACACGATTTTCCTCACTTCACTCAGTTGTAAATGAGTACGTAGCTTCGGTTAGGGGCGTCCCACGGATAGGACGATAAATGGAGGCCCCGTGTTTGGGAGAGCTACAGAGGCACACACGCACTGACGCACACACACAGACGCACAAACACACAGACGCACGCAGGCTCGTTCATGTAAACAGCATCAGATATTTGAAGTATGGATTTTTATGTATGGACAGATGAGTATGGACAGATGAAGTATGGATTTTATAGGTCATCTCAGGGCAGGGGGAGGGGGGTTCTGATACAAGTGTACTCTGACAGATACAAGTATACTCTGATACTAGTATACTACCCCTGAGGATAAGGGGTTGCGTTTTTCTTTGCAAGTAGTCTCACTTTTATCTCTAGGTTACCCTTAGAATTTCATACTACCCGCCCTGAGATGAGCAAACACTCAGAGAAGCTTCAAAACTTCTAAATTCAAGTTTCTGAATGTGTGGCAGGGACTAATGTATATGTATCTACGAACATAGTATTATAAATACTGGCAAATTGTGGGAAAATTCCACATTTCTAGAATTTTATTTCTTTACCAACAGCAAAGTTTTATATATCATTGCAAAGGGCATGTTCTTCTCTACATTATGGTGCTTTTACTTTTGTCATATATCATACGGATATGGAGATATTTGACTTTAAAATTAGTAATTTTGTAACCTTAGTTGTAGCTTTAAAAGTTGTCCGGCCTTTTACCTAATAGATCTGAGCAGAGCAGATTGGTAGTCCATTGTCTCTGACTATAGTACAACCAAGTCAGACTGGTACTCTTAAGGATGATGGCCTAGTAGTCTGAAGGATGGCCTGCCTACTAGTCTGATGAGGGTAGCCCATTTTGAAAACGTCCATGCTGGACCGTAGAAATCCTTGCATATTGTTATGAGCCATTTTCAATGTATATTTTGGGCTCTCAATCTCTGGTAGTAAACCCAAATTACCTGAAGTTTGGTATGATAGTAATTTGTTGCCCACAGAACATCATTCGCGCTTTTGGCATACCCTACTTAAAAATTGTGAAAAATAGGTCTTTTGTGCTATTTTCAGACAAAATATACATTTTTGGCTCCTGTACCCTGATATTACAACCAAATGACCTGGAATTTGGTATATGGATGCCTTATGCCTACAGATCTGTACTGACACAGGTATACATCACTTTAGAATTATGTAAAATGAGACTTTTTTTGCTGTTTTCTGACAAAAAAATGTACATTTTTGGCTGCTGTTCCATAATGTTACAACCAAATGACCTAAAATATGGCATGGGAGTGCTTTGAACACATGGCTACAGAACTTTAGACAATCTAGGTATACACCACATTAGAATTGTTTAAAATCGAACTTTTTTTGCTATTTTCTGCACAAACCAGGGCTCGAAATACCCAGGTGCAATGTGCAAAATGCATATGATTTTCAAGATTTACACATGAAAATATTTTAAATGTGCAATGTTGCACCTAGAAGAAACTGATATCATATTTGAACTGCGTATCTCCTAAGTTTAAACATAAATGGAAACTTGATAAGAAATGGTACTATATAACGTTGATACATTGGTTATCAAGACTGCTCATCATCACATGCACAATCAATAATCATGTCTCTCAGCCAGAGATATCAGTATCTTATTCTATCTTAATCTTTTAACATGGCCATTCAGCAGAAGTCTCTATCCCACTGTATTACTGTTAAGCAATAAAAAATAAATACAGTCACGTACTAGCATTGGTCATGTTTGGTCTCTTATACATAAAGTCCTGTATGCTGTGGCAGGCTAATAAGGTAAACACACAGTAACACAGTTGCGAACCTACCAATTATAATTTTGCACGCAAATTGCACCTAAATTTTTGCCAACACGCAATTTTGCATGTACCTGTAAAAAGTATTTCGAGCCTGCAAACAATGTACATTTTTGGCCCCTGGTCCCTTATATTAAAACCAAACGTACATATATGTATATAACAAATAGAAACATCGCCACTGTTTTTAAAATAATGTCAACATTTACTTGTTAGGGGACTTTGTCGGCTTTTTTGGGTATCCTGAATAGAGCCGACAAATTCAGTAGAAATGAAAAGAAAACATATATTTACCCCTGATTTGAAAGTAGAATCAGCCTAAGGTCTCTGATGTTGTGGGTAAATTACAAAGGGATAGGTAAAGTGAGGTGAGGATCCGTCGTTGCATCAGCCAAATGTCTCGTTTGTTGTCACAGTAAAGCACTACCGCAAACAACCGCGCCGTTAACCAATAAACCAAGCCATATCTAGTCTATTCCCTGCCGCGTTTCTCGTGTCAGTATCGTACATTTTCTATACCTATGCACTGCAAAAGAACCGTCGTTGTCGCAAATATACTAGTAGCCTGTTCAAAGAAGTGTCTGCATTTCGAGAATCAACGAAAACAACAATTTATAAAAACAGTCTTGATGTTTTGAAGTTTATACTCTAGCATATTTAGCCAACTTTGCCTGAAAGATTGACCACAAATAGAGGACAATAAATCGTACCATAGGTGGCATCAATCAATTCTAGTCGCTCACCTGACACGACCTATATATACACCTAACCATAGTTGGGGAACGTTTGGCTAGTGTTCGGGAGGCCAAATTCGTGAATGTGTGACAGGGGCTTTAGCGGACCAACTCCCCTGGTTATCTTTGGCCAATTTCTACTCTTGCCAGCAGCTTCCCAAGCCTGGTAGCTTTCCTTGGACAGGTGACCAGAAATCAATCGTACCATAGATGGTATCATTCAATTCTGCACGCTCACCAGACATGACCTCATCAACCACGCTACAAACACGCTGCAAACCACTAATGAGTTGGGTCGTGCGGCGTAACAAAGGAGAACCAAGAGGGCCTGAGTTCGAATCCTACCATGTCACCGTTCTTGTGCCCTTACGAAAGGCACTTTACACGACTTTTCTCACTTTATTCAGGTGAAAATGAGCACCTAGCTTTGTTTAGGGACGTCCCTCGGATAGGACGTGAAATGGAGGTCCCGTATTTTGGGACTCCAATCACGTTAAAGATCCCACCACACTTCCCGATGTGAGTGGTTCAAACCTTCTGGGTTAATGTTCAAAAGAGGCATCAGAGGTTTCGCTGGGGGATACTTTTATTCATCTTTGTAGCAGACCCATGTTGTAACATATACGATTAGCAGGCTTCGTTTGAAGAGGAGAATATAATTACTGAATTAGTCTAAAATGGAAACGAACAACATTTTGAATTGTACATACATGTAATACACTGCAAATGATGAAGAAGTACTAAAGTCGATGGTCAACTAGACTGAATTTTCCAAACGTTTTGTGTCGTATTCATTTGAAGCTTTGAGGACGACCGGTACCCCATCTTGTTTACGCGAGTTTTTGACGGGATTAACAAATGTACACGTGCACATTCCAGGTGTTTTGAACCACGTGGAGATTAAGAAAGAAATTAAAAAGGATTGGTCAACGCATAATATCATTCAACAAGTGAAACCTCGAAACGTTTAACAATTTATTAAAAAAACATGCACATACATTTCATACTCTACGCAGTACATATTGCAAATGTTTTTAAAAAAGCGGCAACTTGACTTTTTGAAGGCCCGTCTAAAATTAGGAACGGCCACTCTCTAATACAGAAATAGGTAATTTTTTACAGGATATAAGTTGACACATTCGTATTATATAGTAGTACTAGTAATGTTTATGTCAGCCAAACAATTATCGTTTGTCGTTGCCGAGATCTAGACCCTAACCCTAATTTAAGGCTAACCCTAACCCTAACCCTAACCCTAACCCTAACCCTAACCCTAACCCTAACCCTAGCAAAATTAAAATCGATCAATAACACGGAAACCATGGTATCATTGGAATCCCCTTCCGGTCAGAAGTTCAAAACTGCAAACCAAACTTCGATATCGTTTGTCGTTGCCGAGATATCGACCCTAACCCTAATTTAAGGCTAACCCTAACCCTAACCCTAATTTAAGGCTAACCCTAACCCTAACCCTAACCCTAACCCTAATTTAAGGCTAACCCTAACCCTAACCTTACATCTGATTTAATGTTACAAAAGCTGATGAGACCTAGAAAACCACAGTTTCAGCAACCAAGATAACTACAAACTACTGTAAATTAAACTTGTACCGTCCCCAGTGCACTGGCAATTACCTATAGTGGAATTTGATTCAGGAGAGACCTAGTAACCACAGGATAATGCCAGGTGCACATATCACAGGTCAAACTTCCCACAGAAGTATCCAATGTTTTGTGCATCACCTGGACAGTTGATACCACAAAGACAGACTGTAATAAGAAATATTAATCTAAAAACTCTTACTGTTATTGTGAGCAGAAAATTTACTTAACCCTTAGCCATCTGAGTTACCAGTGAACCACTGTACAATTCTGATTGCTAAAGGTTTTCAATAGTGAGTTTTCTGCTTTTTTTAACCAGCTTGAATGCTTTTTGTGCTGTTTCTTTTAGGGTCGGTCGGAAGTTTGATCTCTGTGGCCAATCCATATCACGAGAAAAAAAGAAAGGAATTTAGATTTAACTCAAATCAATCTATTTATGGTATTATTGCAGGTACCTGAGCCAATTCTTCCTGCAGTAATTTCAGTGGCTGCTAGAAGTCGCTTTTGATCCATGGCGCTGTAGGTCATAAATTTGTATTCTTCATGGTGATTGGCTTCATTATGGTGATGTGTTAGCCTCCTGTGCAGGCCCCGCGGCGGTGGGGAAGAGTTTTTAACGCATTATTTTAATAAAGCCGACCATCCTACAACCAGCCGGGAGAGAAGGTTCCATTCCTCCCACGAGAGGAGGCTATAAATAAAGATGACAAGTTAAGAAGGATTTTTCCGACGCACGAAGGTGTTTCAGACAATTATGTTCCCCCAGATAAGCAAGAGTTGTTCGAACTGCCTTTACTGAGAAAAGGGACCGACTTATGTGACAAGAAGCGAAAAATGCTAGTCCAAAAATGCTATTACGAACTGGGGAGGGGTGACATTGCTTTCAGCACCGAGGACATGAATGCCATAAGTTTCAACCTGGCTTCTTTCCTGGCCATTACTACTGAATATCTCCACATATGAAGGAAACCAATGCATTTGTACACTCAAAACACACTCGTATCATATTCACGCGTCAGAATGTTTGCTAGCGCTCCTGCTGAATGCGTGTTTTCCTGCAATGATAACTTCAGCCGTTTGGTGGCGCATTTTTTGCACCATGTGAATGCTTATTTCTTGTCCAAGAAACCAGGGCTCGAAGTACAGTTTTTAGCCTAGTTGTTCCGATATCCATACACACAACCTATGGAAATAACGCAACCAATCTATGATCATAGGACAATTCAAACTTGTGACATATGTAATTAAGAGGAACATTGACAGATATTGTGTAAATTGTGCCCCAATTTGCATTATTATGAAAACATTCTATCACTCCGTACTGGTAAATGACAGGAGTTTCATACCTGAGGCATTTGGAAGTCAAGTAAATATGAATATCATCAAACACAACTTATTCCAATCCACTCATTTGCATAATTTAGAATAGCTTTCTTTGCTTAAAATAAGACTGTCATTGGGGGGAGTGACTGATCTAATTCATGCAAATGATCTTATTTGCAAAAAATGAATGCAATGAAACGTACGTCAATCTTTTAAAAAGGTTAACATTTTTGGGCCAAGGTATGAGATCGTGGAACTCTAGTTTGAATTTGTTGAGACTGCAGTACCACCATTATTCAACAGATGGCCCTTCTGCAATAACTACATGTAACTGACTTCCAAACCAGGTGTTGCTTTTCTGTGACCATGAATGAAGGTAGCTGGCAAGAGGATGTTTAGGAGTAGATGCTGCTATGGGAAAAAAAAGAATATTTCCTCCAGAAATCTTCAAATGGACTCACTTTATTGAAAACTTCAAAAACCTGTCATCACAGTGATAGGTGCCATGCGCAGTGTGTAATGAGACTGTGACGTTAAAGTTTTACCTACATACACATGGCGGACACTTACAGCTCCTTACAGACATGTACACTATACAATACAGGCTAGAATTAAAGTATTAAGTCTACAGGGTTGACTTTTAAAAGTGAGCTAGTCACTTTCAGCAGTGTAATTCATTTCTGTATACATAACATTGTCTTGGAGTGTTAGGGGGGAAACAATGATACATGTGGGGCTTAAAAAGACTTCAATATTACACAAATAACGGCTTATCTTAAGATAGTTGATACAAAACAAGGTGGCATCTCTCCCTCTTATACCAAACTCGAATGTTTCCCCCTTCTTTGGTCCTGAATACGATGCCATACAACTGGAAAAAATCCTAATACACAAAGGTCAAGCTCACTGCCTGGGACAAGAATGTATCTTTCATCTACTTTCTTCTTACTTGTAGTTCTTGGTGGTTCATTGCGTGACATTGGGGTGTACATGTATGAACTGTACAAAATGTATATGCTGATATTACTATTCATGTGTTTCTAGTTCTCTTACAAAAGATGTTTAGGGATTTTAGTATTTCATCGTAATAATAAGAAGACGAAACGATACATTTGTACAAAGATTGTACTGGCTGATACACACAACGTCCTCAAAGCTTAACCTGAACAAGCAAGTTTTTGTGGTAAGTTATCAATAGTAACCAACAGAGAATATACTTATTAATGATGTGAGGTTTGTTAACATGTAAGGAGCAATCATGAATTTCTTAATACTGAAACACATGATTGTGTATCTCAGCTATTACAGCAGTATAAGATTTTTGTTAGAACATTGATTCACCATCAAAATTCTTGCACGAGTTTACAGGAAATATAAAATGTAATATTAAGTATAGTTTTCTTAAATACATGATGTCTGTGTAACTCCACAAATTTCTTCTTTTCGTCATACCGTAGTAGCTTTTACTTTTTTTTAATGCCTTTTACGTTTTTATGTTTCCTTTCAATGTTTTTGATGCTCATCTTTTGTGTAAATGCTCCTTCCTGTTGTAAAATTCTAATATCTCAGAGAAGTTTTTGTCCATTTTCAAATGTTTCTCTCCAACATCAAAATAATATGTGAACGACTTGTTCTTGTTAGAGGGTTAGGTCTTGGTGAGAAATTGCTGATTTTCTTTTCAAACTACTAAAAATGGACTAGAAGTCAAAAACTTTTCACCAGTTTTTGGGAAGTCTCATTATTCAAGTGTTGCATTTTTTTTTGCGGTTGCCTACTAGACCTTCTCACGGATCCCAAGGCATGCTGGGAGATGCAGTGCATTATGGGTAGCAAAAGTATACTGTGTAACCTATAATGTCACGGTAATGATATTTCCCCCTTATGCTACCCATAGTGCCCTGCATTTCCCAGCATGCAATTGAACCCGTCAAAAGGTCAAAGTGTCCTTACATCCTTGCTTTCTGGATGGCATATCCCAGAATCCCCTGCGACGATGCTGGACTAGACCATTCAGAAATATTGCAGGGGGGGTTGGCACGTCTCTATCGCATCTTGTAGTTGGTGGAGGCAGACAGTTCTCCCAGCTCCCCCTTAAACTCCACGTCGATGCTGAAGTCCAAGTCTCTCTGTAAAGGAAAGCATCAATTAATATCATTCATTAAACATTCTACTTCTGGCAATCACATATATCAATGATAATAATAATGGTCTATTAGAATATACATGGGTATGACCATGTTAGATCACACAACCCAACTCATGGCAGAACAAAAAGAGGGAAACTTTGAAATCAAAGATGCCAAACCCTAATTAGAAATCAGAATTCTGAATTGTGACCACCATTATATTCCCTCAGGCCTCTTTCCAACTGGAGGGAGATTTCTGAACATTGAGCGACCAAACTTGCATCTGTATGACTATATTTCAGAATATCCCACAAGTAAAAGCATGATTTGAAAAATAACAAAACACACGATTTTACAAACTACTGTTATCAATAAAGTTGAAATGTTTGAAATGTTAGGCCTAGGAAAGAAAATGTTGTGTTTCCTGTTTCAGTCCTGAAAAAAAATAGTGTCGGTAGGTAGGGATTATCTTTTTTTTAAATTTCTTTTTAGACTTTTCTTTAGGGATCCACCTCCAAAAATGTCAAGGGTCAGTCGGGAAACAGGAAACAACATTTTTTGGCTAGGCCTTACAATATTTGGTTGCTCAACAATTGCTGCCTTAGTTGAAAGGGGGTGATAACAGTGCAAATAGCAGTGTCCTTACGTTGTTCCTCTTGTTGGGCCTCATGTTGAAGGTTCCGTAGATCTCCTCCCCTCGCTTCACAGTGAGGTAGTCCTCCATGTAGAACACTGTCTGCTTCCAGTGGGTGTAGTGGGCTTCTGGGGCTGCAGCCAGGAACACACAACCTTACAACCTTCATCTCACCTATCCATTAGTCTAATTATTTGGCGGTTGAGGCGCCTCAGAGGATATAACAACCACTTTTCTCCACCTTTCTTTCTGCTTTCCTTCATGTTTCACTACATGACGACTCTCTTAATCTTCTGGTATCACCAATAAATAGCTAGAAACAGCAGACAAGGCAAAACAAGCAACCGTTTTCCGTCAGTGACATCGCATTTTTTGCCTTACAGATATCAGTGTACTACGGAATAGGGTTGATTCATCAGAAAATTGACTTTGAAAATTCAGTTTTACCGCCTTGATACAACATTACCGGTAAGAAAAGCGAAAGATGAAATCTTTGATAAAGAACAGATTCCCTTGATGGGAAATGCACCTGTGGAAAAGCCGGTGCGTTTGTGGCACTTGGTGAACTCCACGTTGAAGAAGCAGACCAGGGCGTGGACGTAGTCGTTACGCCGACACTGCAGACAGAACGGCGAGGTGAACTGCAGGTCCTCGATCTTACACGTGTTGATGTCCACCTCCTGTACACAACATACAACAGGCAGGGGGGGTTGGCGGGTATGGCAACGCCACACCTTCAAACTCACACAAATCTACCTGGATTATATCAAACCAGACAACGTCCTGAGATTCTTCTTTTGTCCCTGGTTTTAACCCTCCAATTCTGTACAACTTTAACTACATTCGCCAGAGTAGGCCACATCAATTTGATTTGTTGGTTCTCGGAAAAATATGAAGCGACAGGGCAAAAGAAAGGATAAATACAGACCTAGGCATCCTATGATAGCCCCAAATGCTATGATAGGACCTAACATACCAGACTGGTTTGTAATTAAAAAAATGAATTTCAAACTTTTAATCAAACCACTGCATTGATAGATGGAAAACCTGTAACAACTCTGAAAAGAGGATACTTCCTTCAACTGTTGGGGCCAACTAGAGAGAATAAACGAAGCGGGCTAATCCGTAAACCAACAAATTCAATAAAAAAACCTTATGCCTGTCTAATAAGTGCTGAAACTTTATCAATTACACCCCCTTTCCTCTAGAGGCAGCAACTGATAAGCGACCAAAGATTTGACAGATTGCTCAATAAATTTTATAGACAAAGAAAAGTATTTTTAATGTTTAGTTTCTTTTGTTGTCTTTTAAATTTTTACTTTTGCATAATCATATTCCATGATTGAATTGTATGAAGTCAAGGGTCTCAGAAATCCAGTTTTGTTGACTTTTGTTGCCCAGCTATTGCCATCTAGAGAAAAGGGGACTGTAGGAACCTTACACAGTCATCACATCATACAGTAGAATGGATTCAGTCCTCAAGCTAACAGACATCTACATGTATCACACTGCAGTTAGCCCTCAGTAAGACATCTGGAGCCGCATAGTTCATTCTTACTAGCACTTTAATTCAGCCTGTCACGTATGGATTTGCATGGTGTGCATCTAGACTAAATGATGCAACTTAATCAAGTGACAGGCTGAACAAAAGACTGCAGTGTGATAGATACTGGTTAGCTTGAGGAATGAATCCGCTCTACTTTATAATATACTACATAGTCATCACACTGTGTAAAGACACTTGCTGTCTGATTAGGCCAAGGAAAAAACATTTGTGTTTCCTGTTTCAGTCTTGAAAATATAGGGGTCAGTTAGGTAGGGATTATCTTTTTTTTTTCTAGACTTTGGTGATCTCTAGCGATCCAATTTATACCAAGGAGCTCCTTGCTTATACCATAGAGTAAAGTAAAATTTGCATGAGGACACAAATATTTTCAATGTCAATGTTTGAATCCGATTGTACAACATTTCAACACTTGGGTGCCAGATCATGGAGCTAGAATAGGTCGAAAAATTTTTATCCCTTGCAGAGGTCCACAAAAAAGGCTCGTGGGGGTCCACAAAAAAAGGCTAGGGTCGGCAGTTTTTCCTAGGGTCGGTCGGGAAACAGGAAACACAACATTTCTTTTTCCTAGACCTTATGACGGTAGCGAGATCTGAACATTTGTGAGCCGAACCGTTGCACCTTTCCCTTGTCCTCCAAGTAAAATACGAGTCACACACACCTTCAGGAGGCACGAGTTGGTAACCACGTGCCTGGCCGACACCACGTCCACTGTGGGCTCCTGGATTACCAGCGGTCGCATACACGCCATGTTAAACCCATACACATCATTGGCCCACCCTGGAGTGGGACAGAAACAGGACAGGGATGGGACGAGAGGAAAGGAAAAGCGGACCCACCTTGACCAGACACGAGTTGGAGACCACCTGTTTGGGATCTACTACGTCCACGAGTGGCTCAGTGACGGCCACCTTGCGTATACAGCTCATGTCAAACCCATACACACTGTCCCACCCTGCAAACACAACGTGGACAAAACGGGTTTTCATCCGCGGTACTGACACGCACACACCAGCCAGAAAATTGGATGAAATTGGGAAAATTTGGTAACCTATCAACAAGTGATGATTTTACAACAGCAAAAAAATTGAACAGGATAAATTCTCAAAAATTGGGAAAATTTGGTGATGAAGTATCAACAAATGATAGTTTTTTTTAACACCTGTTCAAAATTTGACAGGATCAAATGCCACAAATCGGGAAAATTTGGTAACTTATCTATGAGCAATGGTTTCACACCAGCAAAAAAATTTGACAGGATGGAATGTTGCAAATTGGGAAACTCTGGTACCTTATTGACAAGTGATGGTTTCACACCGGCTAAAAAATTTGAAAGAATGAAATGTTGAAAATTGGGAAAATTTGGTTATCAAAGACTGTGCATTCAATAGAGAATTCTGGGCAGATTTTGAGCGATTCGATCTCATAACATTAAAGTTTTTTTGGGGGTCAAATCAATGCAAAAACAAGACGAAATTAGTTATGTGGTAATGATGCATTCCAAAAATCATCTTTCAACTATTTTATAATGAATGATTATCAATTGAAAGGAAACTTTCACATTTTTAAAACACATTTCTTTAACTCAGGGTTGGCTTGGACATTATAATCATGGTGTTGCTGACTCAAATCACAGAAATCAGCCAGTGGGAAAAAAAATCCCAACAGCTCAAAAGCAACACCGTTTTAAAACTCAAGTCATGTCCTCTGGTTCAGCTGGCTGTCTTGAACGTCACTTCTTTTTCATTGCGAGGTAAAACATTTCCAAGACACAGCCACATTCCATGGAGGACCATACACCTGTTTCAGTTGTTTACAAAATCACCGAACAGGCAATACTTCCAATTCAAGCATTTTGGGATTAACATGTCAGAATCATACAACCCACACTCGGAAATTTGCACAGTAACTGTTACACATCAATTATGAATTACAGTGCCATTAAAACATGTCGCATCACTCCACTCGTTACTACCAATATCATGCAAGTAGTTCACAAAAGCAAATAGAAAAAGATATATCTGATGCAAGCTTACAAACTGTTGTAAAATAATCAAATCATGACATAAGATCTTTTTTTGCTCCATGCAGACTTATTTTGTGAAGCGTTTGAAGTCACTTGAATGTTGAAATTGAGAGTTTAAGAAGTGAGAGGTACTTACAGTTGATTTTCTCATCCTTGTACTGCCCGTCTTCGATAGCACATACGTACAGCGTGGCTCGGTCTGGGAACAGGATTCCATCTGGGGCCTGGAAATGGAAACACGCAACAGTTTGGTCAAGAGAGTCTATTCTGAACTGACAAACTTTCTCTCAAGGACTGGTGCGACAAAAAAAAAGATGACTCCAGCTTTGTGAGATTCAAATAGTTCAGTATGAATTACTGTTTCACAACTTTTGCAATGAATAGCTAAGTTTTTTATCCACAACCACAAGAGCCAAATTACTTGTTACATCTAATCCTTGAACATCTAACATTGTTTAAAGCTATCTATTGACAATGCCCCTACTGTACTTGGTGACAGTGAGTTCTACTCTGTAATAGTTCTAGGGAAGAATAAGTTTTTGAACACCCCAATCCTTGCTTGATACATGTAACTCTGGTACTTGAAGGCATGGCTACTTCTTGCTTGTACAATGTAGGAGCAGACTTACCAGCCACTTGTCTCGAGCGTACAGGACGGTGTTGAGCATGGACTCGTAGAACAGACAGTACCCCATCCACTCACTCACGATGATGTCCACCTTGTCTATCCCCGGCAGGTCCACCTCCTCAACCTTACCTCGCACGATTGTCACAACTAGGGAAAATATCAGTTGCAGTGTTAAAAATACCCACCTGCATTTTCAATATTGCAGAAGAAAAATTAAGCAACCTGCAATTTTTAGACAATCATACAATATTGTTTAGAGTTAAAACTTGAGATCCAACACAAAAAATTCTCTTCTGTTCAGTCACTCCCCAGTAGACTGACCCAGTGACTGGTCGAAAACTCTTAGGTTAGAGAACTATTTTGTGTTGGATCTGAAGTTTTAACTCTAAACAATATTGCATGAACTTTCATGATACCATACAATATTGTTTAACCAATTTAGTGTTTACCACTGACTTCATAATATACTGGCAATTTTGCATATATTTTAGAATTGCAAATAAAATGTTTGCCAACATGCAAATTTCTATATGACACGTGTTTAGGTCTGGACTTTAAAGTGTGTATTTCCAGAAAGTATTTCTATGTGGCAGACCAAAATTTTCACATTCAGTACACTGAAATAAGTAGCTGAAGTTGGCTTTTGGGTTATGAAGCAGCAACAAATGTAAACACAACAAACATATCTAGTTTCAACATTTCTTCAACAGTTTAATAATAACTTTTTCCAAGCAAAATCATTCACTTACTGTGGTCCAAATTGTTGTCCTCAATAATCTTGATGGCATGTTCTACTATACTGGAACATTCAATCTGGGAGGGGAGTAACAGAAGGAAAGACTTGTTACAGCATCAATACATCATTCAATAGGCAGGCACATTGAAAATAAGCATGCTGAAAATTTGCGTGAGCACACTTTTTTTCAATGCCAATGTTGGAAAACCGATTGATGTCCAATGTTTCATCATTCAGGTGTCAGATAATGGAGCTAGAAATGGTCGATCAGCTTGAAAAATTCATGTCCCTTGCAGGGATTTACACAAAAAAAAAGAAAAAAGTTTTTTCTAGGTAGGGTAGGGAAACAGGAAACACAACATTTTTTTCCTAGGCCTTACATACTGTGTGTTACCTTGCAATCCACCTTCAGGCACTTGTTTAAAAAAAAAAACATCTTTGACTCTTTAAAATGAGATTAAAGCTCACCCCTATGACTTTCTTGGCCCCTGCTCTGGCAGCAAACATACACAGGATCCCCGTGCCACACCCCACGTCCAGAACTATCTTGTCCTTGAACAGGTGTTTGTTCTGGTACATGGCGTTTCTGTAGGTCAGTGTGCGAACCTCGTCTTTCAACATTTCCTGTAAAAACACAGACAGGCTGGGTTACCTCTAGGAAGACCAGTCATTCATCCTTGACTAAGGTGAAGCATGATACTTTTCAAGTACCTTATACTTTTTTTAAGTTATAGAGTATGTTGCACGGGTTAAACATCATGATTCATAGGACATTAACAACAGCTTGGGTTAAAAGAATACACTGATACCTCTAGTTACTTTTACTCATATAATCAAGTTTTGTGTATCAGAGTACCAGTTTTCTTACCATTCCTGCATGTTTATTTCTACTAACAATTCCATAATCCTTAAAGGCCATATGACACCAAACAAAAAAGTAAAAATGCATCTAAATATCGAAAGTATACACAGGGTGACCTCAGCTCAGGAAAAAAATTCAGAAATGCAAAAATAAAACTTAGTGATGCAAAATAGTCTGCCAGGACTGGCTTGTGCTGTCTGAAGTGGGGTATTGAAATTTTGATTGTAATGTAACAAGAGAACCGTGCATATTTATAGTAAACGTTCCTGTTAGCCAGGTAATACTAGTTATGTCGACTAAAATTAGATAAGGTCGTCTTTTGGTGTCATGAGCACTTTGATAGCAGCCTATCACTGACTATTAGAAACAGAAAAAAAAACTGTCGTGCCCTTTTTCTGTTGTCATTCTCTGAACCCAGAAACAACTCACTCCATTTTGCCTGCTCCTTCAAAACTGGAAGGCACAAAAATAGAAACCAATATCACAGCAAATCGACTTTGCCAAGTCAAGCGTTCAGGAGATACGGAAGTAATTTGGCTCCTCTGTGTCATGTAATCCTCTGTCTGGTCCCTAAAGACAGCTCACTACTGAAGGAGAACAACCAAACAGCAAGATAAGGCAATAAACAGGGCTCAAAACAGATCACCCTCTGTACGACCTTGTTCCCCCTGAACGTGTGACTGCTACAGGGAGACTGCTCAGGAACAGCAACATTTGCCTAAAGCCAGGATTCTACGCTTGAAAAAGTCTTTTTTACATTGTGCAGTAAGACTTTACAATGACAGTGATAATGGTTGATATTGAAGGCCCATGTCTGCTATCTCCTATTGTAGATTGAATGATGTTTGTACATATTTGTATATAGTGTGTTTCTGTTTACTTGTTTTTTTAACCAATTGTAAAAATCGAATACACAATTCCAATTCAGGGGTGCATTAGCATTTCCTGCTTTTGTACGGTTTTGTTTCATTGAATAAATTGATTGAATTGATTGAAAAACTCTCTTTCTGTGTACCTGCACTGGAACATTACCTGCCCCAGATAAAATTTATTCACTCAGAATTCAGAAAGTAATCATACTAAAACTGTTCAGAAACCATTTCTTTTACACTTCATAGGTGATAGTCCAGTCCACCATAAAAATCCAGGTCAGTGCTGGTAAAATTGGGACTGTGCAAATTGGTTTCTGAAGTTTTTATTATGGAAGATCCATATTTCCTAAATTCCGAGTGGTGCAGGCAAAATTTGTCTGGTGGGCAGGTAATTTTCAATGTTACCAGTGCAGGTATGCAGAAAAAAGTATTTTGAGCCCTGAATTCAGTATAATGGACAATTTTGTGACTTGTGTATGTAACATCTGTATCTGTATAACTGCTTTTCGGTATAACACACCAGCTTCGCAGGCACATGGCACAGCGGCAGCTGGCTACATTACACCGATCAACTTGTTACACCTAACCCTTGAACATTTAACTCTAGACATTGTTTAAAGCTATCTAATGACAATGCCCCTACTGTACTTGGTGACAGTGAGTTCCACTCTGCGATAGTTCTAGGAAAGAATGAATTCTGGAACACCTCAATCCTTGGTTTATTACTCTGGTACTTGAAGGCATGGCTATTCCTTGTTCTCTTCTGGGCTGGTATTAGGTACTTAGTAGTTGGGACGTCCACCAGTTTATTAGTCATTTTGTACATCATGCATAGTCTGGACATTTTTTCTTCTGTCAATCAGCGGCCTGTATTGTACAATATTTACCACATGTTGACTGACGCTTTGCCAAAGTTTGACTGACAGTTGCAGCTTTCCTCATGAGACACTGACTCCAGCTCCGGCTTTCCGCTGGGCTTCAAAAGCTACTCGCTATTATATCACACCACTGGTATCATCTAGAAAGACATTAATAATCCAGAAAATCTCCAGAAAGGTCAAGTTTTGCGCTTCATCGCAGACCCCTGTCTGAAGTGATAAACCTTACGGATGGGTTCGTGCTTAAACTGGCAAATCTGGTCACCCTAGTCAAATTCTAACAAACGGGCCGGAGCAAGTCATTTTGGGGCCGAAAGGCTGCATTGTAGTATTTGTACCACAGCTAAGTGTAGTAATTTGCCTGAGATGCATGTACAGGGCTCAAAATAACACCTACATACATGTATACAGGTTAGTACAAGTTAAACTGGAGTTGTACAGGTATTTCTGATGTCTACCTGCACCTAACCTGCACTGGTCCATGTACTGGGTATATGCAGGTTAGTGCAAGTAAAATTGGAGCTGTGCAGGTACTTCTGATGTCTACCTGCACCTAACCTGCACTGGGCCATGTACTGGGTATATTCAGGTTAGTGCAGGTAAAATTTGTCTGGTGCAGGTATTTCTGATGTCTACCTGTACCTAACCTGCACTGGTCCATGTACTGGGTATATGCAGGTTAGTGCAAGTAAAATTGGAGCTGTGCAGGTACTTCTGATGTCTACCTGCACCTAACCTGCACTGGTCCATGTACTGGGTATATGCAGGTTAGTGCAGGTAAAACTGGAGCTGTGCAGGTATTTCTGATGTCTACCTGCACCTAACCTGCACCAATCCATCTACTAGATTAATAGTTTATAATTATACATATGTAGGAGTGTATGCATTTTCATTAGCTATATTAACTGTCACCACCTAAAAAGTATAAAAGAAATAACGACAATGGTTAATCTGAACAGTATGCTCCATACTTCATACATTCTGTGTGGTGCATGGAAAATTTGTCTGGTGCAGGTGATTTTCAATGTTACATGCACCAGTGTGTAGAAAAAAAAAAGGATTTCGAGCCCTGTGCAGGTAAATTTAGCAATTTGGAAGATTGGTGAAACATGGATGGGATGACTAACTGCATATCAATGATGACATATTACACGAGCGATAGAATGACATCAAATATTTATATCCATAAGTGTTATGTGTGCGCATGCTGGCAGGTGATTTATACAGTACCAATATTTCAGTGAAATATCCACTCCATCATTTTGTATTGCTAAATGAGCTTAAAGCTTAGAATAGAATGTTTTAAGTAAACACACGTTTGCAGTCACTTAGGAGAACTATGATTGATGGTCAAATAAATATCTGTACATGTAGTTACTACATGAAAATAATATCTAATATTCATCTCAGACATTGCAATGTCAGATCTATCTAGAACATCGTTTCCTTTTTCCAAACGCTGAATTTGCATTCAGGGCTTGAAATCCTTTTTTCTGCATACCTGCACTGGTGCAGGTTACACTGAAAATAGTACCTGCACCAGACAAGTTTTACCTGCAAGTTGCAACAATGAATTTATGAAGTATGGAGCATACTAAAAACTGTTCAGAAACCATTGTCATTATTATTATACACTTCATAGAGGTGGTAACAGTCAATGCAGCAAATAAAAAATATGTACACACCTACATTTGTACCAGAGCAGGTTAGGTGCAAGTAGACATTAGAAATACCCGCACAGCTTCAATTTTACCTGCACTAACCTGTATGTACCCAGTACATGGACCAGTGCAGGTCAGGTGCAGGTAGACATCAGAAATACATGCACAGCTCCAATTTTCCCTGCACTAACCTGCATATACCCAGTACATGGGCCAGTGCAGGTTAGGTGCAGGTAGACATCAGAAATACCTGCACAGCCCCAATTTTTTCTGTACTAACCTGCATATGCAGAAGATATTACCAACCCTGATTATCTAATATTTATCTCGGACATTTCCATAAATATCAGATCTATCATATCCTTTTCCAAGAGTTTTCATTCTTATACCGATTCCAGTTTCCAGTTTCAATACCACTGTACACTGCTACAATATAGCCGTCTGTAGGACTGTATACAAATTGATATTGACCCGCACTGATTTAACCACTTTCTTCTCCGATAGCTTACGTCGTTACTTCAGGTCACCTTGAGGTTGACCTTGGACTTGTTGTCGGACTAAGGGGGCGCACATCCTAAAGGTCACTTGAAGGTGAGGCAAATTGGTACAAGGAGGGAATGCTCAATGATGCCAAATCGATGCCAGAGAGGGGACGGAATAAAACGCACGGGAAATAATAGTCGGCAACAGTTGGTTTTACCTCACTTGTTGATTTTTATATCCAAATCTTAAATAAAATGTACTGAAAGGTATATTACGCACAGAAAAGAAATCAAACCGAACAATAACCATATCATATATTCATAAGTAGTATTATTTATGGTTAATGTTTAAGTACTACTGTTTTATAATGTTCTATGTCTTTGCAATTAGCCCTCGGGCATGAAGTATATTTCAGTCCATATCACAGGTATGGATGAAATATATCGTTTTCCCTTGTTTGTAACTAATGATTGGTCCGTACCTCATGAATGGCGAAGTGGGCGTACGAGTCGAAGTAGTAGTCTCGTGACGTCATGTCGTCCGGGTGGCTCACGTCCTCGCTGTTCGCCACGGGTTTGGTCACGTCTTCCGCCAAGTTCTCCATGTTGTTCTGTTGTGCGACCTGCGGGTAAACACAACAACAACACAAAAACGTGAGTCACAGCTAAAACTGAAGTTCTACTTCCTATTCTATATTGAAATGGAATCTTGAAAACACTACTTCTGCAAAAGCAAAGATCCCACACACAAAAATTTACCCACCCAAAGAAACCCAAATTTTTTATGTATACACATATATTTAAAGCGTATCTGGCAAAAAACACAATTGCTTACACAAAGCCTTTTAGTTTTACTCAAAAACATATATACAAGTTAATACAACATGAGTAAAACACAATAACAACATACCTGTTTATACATAACCACAAAATGGATGAGTAAATAAAGATAAGTGTAATTACAAGATAAGTTGGTGATCTATCAATTACAAGAATCTACCTGTACAGGAAATAAAGCTTTGACCTACTACTAGTACTAGTATATTGAAGATTTACAGTTTTGTACATGTGAAAGTGACGTGAATCCTCATAGCAGTTAAGAAACCCATTCCAGATTTTTCCCAAATTCGAGTCTCTTGTTTCTCATAGAGTCATACCAAACCGTACCCATGAAGAGAAAAATCTATATACCAAAGGCTGGGAATCAATGAAGCAACAAAACCATGAAAGCTACCTGACAATAGACCTGTTATGACCCGAGAGATTTATAATTCTACTGAAAAAGTGAAGTAGATCTAAGGAATATACTTTGGTACTGAAGCCACATACAATACAAAACTGTACAAGATCATTCAGAACCTATCAAATCTGGTCAATGTGGACAGGTGGTCACCTTAGATAGGCCAGGTGGTCCTTGTGTAAAAATGCTCCTTTGTACATGTATATGTACATGTTTTTTACTTTTTGTTAGCAACAAGTTACCCTGTGGTCTTCACAAAGAAACTCATTTCTTTCTGTATCAACCTTTGTACCTCTATTTCTATGATTTGTTGGGTTACATTTGTACTTCTGCCAGTTCACAGGGAAAATGTATGTCCTGATTAGAAGAGCCAAGGAACCAGTCCCTGACCTTTTTACCAAGGCAGGTCGGCAGGCAGACATGCTCAATAGCACATACATGTACTAATTTGTCTACCGCTACATACGTTAAACTTTCTATATTTATTCACTGCTACGTCAAATAGTAAAGGGAACAGATAAGAAGGATAACCACAATCTGTTGCTGTTCAACACTCCAAGGGTCAAACTGTCAGGATTATTTCAGTTCGGCCAAGTTTTAGTTCATTTATTTTGTAGTTATAGTATATATACAGTTTTCAATGACTCCTTGGACACCAAATAACACATCATAACTAGAATTAGAAAGGTAACATTTGCAGCGCAAATACATAATGTTTACCTTAGCATGGTCTGGCCTAACAAACTACAGTGGTAACTGCACTGTTTATTCTTACTCAAACATTATATATATGGTGACCAGTACTTCCAACTGTGCTCACACCATAATGTGACCCAACACCACAGGGTGTCTGCCACAGCACCGGTTACCATGGTCCAGGTCATTGACCTTATGTGTTTGGAGAAGAAGGAGAAGAAACAGAGCAAAAAACAATACGTTTTCCTTCTGTGAAGATAAACATGATTTAGTTTATACATACGTTTCACGACCACGTACGGAGACTGACACACACGAACACGTCCACGATTACACCGAGGGACACCGAGCCGCTACCTGCGCCGTCCTGGCCCGGTCCGTCTGTACCGCTCCCCTCCCTCCCCATCCGAACGCCAACCCCTCCCGGACACAACCGTCCTCCACAGACCAGTGAGAAGATATCCTGGCCATAGCCGCAAAATCCTGGCAAGCCTCCTCCTCTAGCGCAGTCTGTGGTTCAGCGCCGGCGATCATGTTCCCCATATTGTTACAGCACGAGTCTGGCTACCAAGACTTCCGCCCGACAATGATTACCTGTTACCGCCTGGGGGAAACGTTTCAGCCAGAAAGATCAGTTACCATCTGGGAG